AATTGTAACTTCCTTTAACCGCTCTTCCCACGTGTCTTTTGTTTCTTCGATTGAATTTTTGGTAACCGCTCTGGCTTAATTATCTACTGGTTCTGGGAGAGTTTCAACACTTCATTTATTCTCGAGTAATCCTTCTTTCTTATTCGACTCTATCTCGAGCACACCCACGTGGGGTTTGTCAGGTTCTCCGCATGTGTTAACTTGACCTTTATTTTTCGGGCAGCGCTATCAATCCAACGTTTCGAGTCCCATAATGTCGAGTGGATCCAACAATTTGTAATTTAAGTCTCTCATCAAATTAAAAATCACTGTCTTCTAGAACACATGCACTAATTTTCATTATAATTATACCTTTAAATTTTAAAACTTCAATTCTAAAATAGATGAATAAAGAATAGTCAATTTCGTGAATGGAAAAAATGTGATTAAAAAGAAATTTTTCTTTGAAAACACCCTACCAGATTTTTCAATAAAAAATAATTATAAACGAAATTGTTAAATATTTTATACTAATAATATGATTATAAAGAAAATGACTGCACATTTGAATATTATATGTGTGAGCCATGTTGAATGTTATTCCAACAAGTTTGTGAACTTGTTTTTATGCTAAATTGAGGTTTGTTTTCCTGTGTTTCAGCGTGGCATCACCGAAGGCAGTCTTCAACCACAAGGTAATAATAATAGAGGACATGCTATCTGTTCAAAATAGCTTTCATCACAATTTACAACTAAAGAACTAATATAAGCAAAAAAAAGGTTTATATTTTAAATCCTTACAAATCGAACCATATAAAGATGCTGAAACTCAAGTGATAAATTGTTAGTGAAATCAGCCTTAATTGGTTATGCTAGTTAATTCACTAGTTGTCATTTATAACATTATTCTTAAGTAAATGAAATTAATATTGGTACATGTTGGTGAATGCATAAAATTAATTGTAGAATGCGGGCCACGTTGCACAACTAGATGCTCAAAGACACAGTACAAGAAACCATGCTTGTTCTTCTGCAAAAAGTGTTGTGCCAAGTGCTTATGTGTGCCTCCCGGTACTTATGGTAACAAGCAAGTTTGCCCTTGCTACAACAATTGGAAGACCAAAAGGGGAGGACCCAAGTGCCCCTGAAAACTTCTAACTTTACCTATTAAGTCTTTTTTTTTTTTTTTTGTACAACAACAATAACATAAGATTTTAAGTTATGATATCATGTAAACTACCTAAATCTCTTATCATGTCTTATCATTAAGCCGATCTTGATGGAATCTGTTAAGGGTTTGTTTGATAATGTTTTTTAGAAGAACTTCTACAAAGAAAAAATAGAAAAAAAAATTAAAATAAATTTTGTCTCTATTATAAGTATGTTAAGATTACCGTATTTGAGGTATTGTTTATTTTAATATTTATTCGTATTTGAGATAAGAAGGGAAGAATATTTATAAATTATCATTGGTCTCGACTCCTAAGTAAAGTGGCCTGAGTCCATCTTCTAACGTTAATGTTTCGATTGTAAGTTTATTGACATCGTTAGAGTCATAATATCCAAAACATTGTCCACTTAGACATTCGTTGAATTGTCACAATTTTGTTCTTAAAAACGTTTTTAGTGAGTTAAGGGATAAAAATGTTTATAAAATATCATTGACCTTAATTCTTAAGGGATGTAGAACTTTTAAATATATCGGAGTAATTTTTTTTTTTTTACAAATTAAAAGAAACTTATGCATAAGTTAAAAATGAAATTTTGGAGAAGTTAATAAGAAAAAGTTTGTGCAAATTAGTTTGTACATGAGTCAATCTTAATTTATAGAAAAAATAATTTTATTTTTCTTTTCAATTTTTCTCTGATATAAGTATTTCTCGAAAAATTTATTCAAATAAATCCCTTTAAGTCTCCTATGCCTTTGACCTCTTCATGTATGTATTTTACGTACGAGATTACCTTAATTTAATCATGTTTGCCTCTGTGTGCTTTCATATTCTGCCTTAGCGAAAAAGACAGAACACTTCTCGCATTGAACTTGTAGTCAAATTCCTTCCTAGAAAAAGGTATGCTAAGCACAAGGAAGACACACAATGCAAATAGTGTCTTCTGGTTATGAAAATTTAAATATTACTATGTTATATGTTAGCATTGGTATCTGCTAAGAAACTTTTTATGTGAAAGGCTTCCTTTAAAAGACTATTGGCTAGAGAATATCGTTAGTCACGTAAAAACAAAGTACTAATCATAATAATTGTTAAAAAAGTATATATATATATATATATATATATATATTATAGTGATACATAATATATGTTGTTGAATATCGTTCATATTAATCAATACTAAAATTATGTGTAGATATACGATAAATATATTTATATTTACATATATTTTATCTATAGTGATATATATTTTATGTCATTATATATAATATTTCTTGTAGTGATATTATAATAGTCCATCCACCTGAAATTATTATGATTTTGACATGTATAAGTTATAAGTTTTGATGCTATAAAACGTTATTTGTAAGATAAAAATTAGAAACATTTTTTAGAATTTCTCTACTAAAAATAAAAAATATTTTTCATAGAAGAGCTTTCAAAAATATTTCTAAACTTATATTCAAACAAATTCTAAGTTTATATAGCAAAATTATAATGTATCTATTACCCTTCTTTCCTATCATTGAATTTTCATAAGAGAGAAGAGATATTATTCCATATCAAAATATATGTACTGATATCAATAAAATTGATAAATAATAACTGAAGAGTTTAAGAGGTGAGAAAAAAAAATGTATTTCTCAATTTCTCTTTTTATTATCCAACAACAAGGAAAACATAATCTCATAATTTTTAATAGAGACAAAAGATGAAAAATAAAACTAATACTTTATAAAAACTGTAAAGTGTTTTATAAAAGTATCACTATTTTCTTTAAATTGTATCTTATAATAAAGATCAAACATCAAAGAGAGTGTTATATAAAATAGAACTTTATGAAAAAAATACAAAATTATGCACAATACTCGTTAATAATTTCTATTTCCTCCTGTTAAGACCTCTCAAAAGCTCACTCGCTCGGAAGTTACATCCATCTGCTCGAAGGAAAGACAGAAATTGGTACCTACCAAGAGGGTATTATTAGAAGCCCTAGGTATATGAACTCGAGAATTAGCCGAAAGACGTAAGAGGGGGAAGGTCCTTCGAGCAGTTACCTTTTCTCGGAGCAGTTAAGCAGTTACACAAGGTAGTTATGAAAGTTTGAATCAAAGAGATAAAAAAACACGTGGGATGTACGGTTACGGAAGTTATAACCCACGTAACGAGCTTAGTGGATAGCGGTTATGCTCTGATAATGCACATGCATATATTAACCGCCCTCGATTGGCCCTATAAATATGAGGAAGGTATTGATTTACGGGGGTTGGAAAACTCATATTTGAACTCTCAAGCACTCATCGCCTGCGCATATGACTTTCGTGCAAGGAATTATTTCTGGGTATGACCACTTCTCGGCCACTTTTCTTTTCTGCTTTTAGGATTAGGATTAGTGTAGTCTTCTTCTCTTTTCCTAGTTATAGATTGGTTAAACTTTAACATTGTAATCGTAAACGTGATCATTATGCAAATTGAACGATGATTTGTATTGCCAATGTATGTTTTAGTTATACTGTTCGTTTAAGTATTTACATACATGCAAATTATTGTTTAATTATAGTTCATGAAGATTTGGAAACCAACTTTTGGTGATCTTTGTCGTCTACTCCTATTCTTAACAACGCCAACGCTTTGAAATACCTAAATTGAAACACTGTTGTGCTAGTTCGACTAAAAAGAATCCGTAAAACTAATTCCACCATAAACACCTCCAAAATCCAACAACTAATTCTGCCTTACGCATCTATGATCCATCTCTTGCAACTATGTAAATCATAGAACTCTATTTGTGATTTTCGACACTTTCAGTCTACACCAGAATACGATAATTTGTTTTTGAAGTAGCCAAAAGAGGAAAAAATAAACACTTTAGTTAAGAGAATTTTGAAAACTACACGTTTAAAATAAGGAATTTTTTATGCTTAAAAAAAAGGAGTTTTATTTACCTGTGTCGAAGGTAGGGATGGCAATGAGGCCCCATGGGAGCGGGTAATAATAAACCTGTCCCCGCCCTGCTAGATGAAAATTGGCCTTATACCCACTCCATATCCGCGCGGGTATCCATTAAGCGGGTATCCATGAATTTCTTGAATACCTACGGATATCCATGGATATTTATAAATTTTTTAAAAAATTTAAAAAATTATATTACAAATAATTTTGTTTATATTTAATGTCATTGAAATATTTAAAAAAATTCAATGTTAATTTTGAACTTGTATTTAACGTTAATTTTGTTAAAATAATAATAAAAATGCAAGATAATCAATAACTTAAAATACATCAATCTCATAAGTAAGTGAAAGTCTCATGTTACATAGCTACAATTATTCAATCTCATAATTCCAAATGAAAGTAAACAACTAAAAATACATAAATCTTATTGGCCCAATCAAAGATAGAAAATTAATCAAATTACATCCAACATAATTCTATAACATGCTTAACACATGTTGGTAACTTCATCAACCTCACTTTTGTAAGAAAATAAGACGAGAGAGTGTAGTTTTAGGGTTATGTGGTACAAGGATAATTAGGATATTTAAGAAATATTATTCAACGGGTATTCACGGGTATGGATATCATCATACCCGCCCCCGCCCCGTTTATAAATGGGTAAAAAATTATCCGTCCCCATTATTCGCGGGTACCCAATTAGCTTATCCATTTATTATCCGTAGTGGGTTTTACCCGCAAATACTCGCGAGTGCGGGTATTTTTGCCATCTCTAGTCGAAGGGTACATTTTTTTTTCAGTAATACTACATATACAAAAAAAAAATTATTATACAACGTCACTTTTATCTCTCTATCACTAATAATATATATTTCTTTCTATAATAAAAAAAATATAGATATAAAGTTGATGTTATACAATTTTTATTGTAGATATAACATTACTTCTTTGTTTTTGTGCAATAAGGTACCGGTGGAGGTTAAGAAATCTTATAAACTTATCACATAAAAATCATTTAATATTTTCATTTTAAAAAATATTTAACACTTATAAAATAAAATAAAAAAAATTTAACGTAGTATGATAAATATGTTTTAATTATAGGGTTTAGTCTCTCAAACGCAAAAAAGAGTCGCTACTGTCATTTTAAAGCTGAGGTTGATATCACATGCTAACTGCGTTTATAATAAATATTTTTCTTATACAATTTAATATGCAATAAAAAAACAGAATATAAATGTACAATTTTTAACACACAATCAATCGTAGTTATTACCTGTTTGAATATTGTAGCAGAAATGGTAGGTGAGGTCCCAGAACCTGCGTCATTAGAACGCAAACTGTCTTGACCAGTTAATTTATGCATGATAAGTAGACAGACACCATGGAAATTGGAAAGGTAGGTGCACCTTTCCATAACTTTGTTTTGTTAGGTGCCACTCTACTGCTTAGTGTTGCTAATTGCCAACAACCCATGCATGATCATGTCATTAAACACATGCAAGATCTTTTAGCATAACTCATGGTCCTCGTTCATTCATTTTATGTTTTTTTTTTTACTTTTTGTTTCAGGATCAAACCATGCTTGAATCACACACTTTCGACATTTTATTACTTTGGACCGACTTTGTCGATTAAGATGATTATTAACCACAATATTCCTTTTCCTACTTTAGAAATAATAATCAATTACTACTCTTACACGCCCTACACACTCAAGATAATTGTTTTCTCTAAGCATTAATACATATATAATAATTAGGTATTATATACAATTGGTCGCTAAAGATTATAAAATTAATGTAATACTTTGAGTTTAATTTTAATATATACTAATTTTTTTTACACAATATCACTTTATTAGAAATCATCTTTGTCACCTTGTATATATAAAATAAATAGAATAGATTATGTGAGAAATGAAATATTTATTTTATATAAACTCATAATTTTCAATAAAATTTGACAATAAAAATTTTGTAACAATATCATGATTAAAAAAAATTAATTTGTTTCTCATGTAACAAGTTCTGGCCAATAAGTTGATTAATGAAAAAATAATATAA